TCCTTCCTCTCGCAGATCGCAGGGCAGCACCCTGCATCAAAGCGATCGAGCTCGGGTTTTTGGATGCAAGACATGAGGGACGCCGTAGTTTCAGGGTTCGAGTCGTGCTCCCGGGGGTGTCTCGAGTGAGCATCTTGGCCAGCAAAAGAAGAGGAACCTGTGATCAACGTCTTGGGTGTTTTCACTTTGTCAGATCAACGCACGGCTTTCTCTGCATCAAGTGTTCAGTAAAGTTTCCGTGGGGTTTAATACTTCTACAGCCCCACTTAGCCAGCAGGTCTCTACCACGGCACACGGAGATGGATGGCTGTGTCTCCTCTGATCTCAACCCTTATTCTACTCAGTGCAGATCAGGGGCTAAAGGGACAACAGCCCTGAATGCGCACATGGGAGCACTAGATGCATGCACGCTGTTCAGGATAGCCACAACTGGCCTTCTCCAACCCCATGCACATTCATGCACACTTTTGCACCACCCAGTAGCTCATTTTGCACCTTCTCCGGCTTGCATAACACACAACTCCGGTTTGCATAACACAGATTCGGTCCTCTGATATGGCTAGAGCCTTCTCACTTATGCTTATGCATGCAAAAAAACCCCCAAACCCCAACATTTTTTAAAGGCTTTAGATAACACAAGCCAAATCCAAAACCCCCTGCATAGAAAAGGCTGGAGCTACAAATGAGCAGGCATTGTTTCTTGGTGTTGAGGGGATGCTGCGTGAAATTCAGTGGCATAACTATGCATGGGAAAGGTCGTGCAACATGGAACAAGCACCTGTGATAGAGAGTTGGTTTCAACTCAAAAGGGAAACCCGAGAGAGGTAAAACTGGAAGAAAGGTGCAACCCCTGGCGTGTGCGTAGAGAAAGCTGGAGTATGGAGAAAAGAGGTCTAAGGAGCATAGAAACCCAAACATCCAAACATCCAGGTCTGGATCCCAGTTCCCAGCTTGAAGCATCTTCATCCCCGCAGCCAAAACAGGGGGTTGAGTCCACAGGCATCACACTTCTGTAAGCACAAGGCTAGAGAGTTATATGAAAGCCAGGAGTCCCTCTGGTGCATGACTCCAGGTGCTGAAGCTTTGCAAAAATCCACCATCCAATGCAAGACCCACGCTACAATTGCAAAGATTGGCGATGCCTGTATTGTCTGTTGGGGAGGAGGTGTCTCAAACCCAGAGATTGGATGTGGAGTTTTTAGGAAGACTCATTTCCACTGAAAAGTTTAACCAATACATATAGCCAATACGGACTCAGGGTACCTGCAAGAGAGGATGGGCCAGATTTTCACTTAGCTGACATGAATGGCACTCCTCAAATCACACAAGCCAAGGATCTGGACTACCCGTCCGTTCTTGACCGACGGTTTATAGAAGAGGCTCAGATCTGTTGCAAAGACTCTTGCTATTTTTTACTGCTGTGTCTTATGGTCCTCGAACACCCCGTGTGGGTTTGCTCGTGAATAGATAACTGGTCTGTTTTACTTGATCCGATCGCTGAAAAGGTAGGGAAGAAAGATCAGAGCACAAGACAACAGCAATGGCAGCCACCTTTGGGGAGGGGGGAAGGGACCGCTTTCTGAATCCCAGCAGCGTCCAAAAATTACAGCCGGTCTCTGCAATTACGAGGAGTAAAACATTAAAAACCATGAGACAAAGTGCATTTGCATGCTAATAGCTCTCCTCAGTAGTGCAAGGCTGTCTCCAATAACAAAGGAGATAACTTCCCCACTGGGGAAATATTAACCCTTGGGTTCATTTCCCTCTTCCTCCTCCCCAGGTATACGACCGAGGGATATATCCAGATCTAGGATAAGCAGGTGAGTAAGCAACATCAAAGTCAAGAGAGTTGCACCCTCCTAAGCCAGGGCATGGATTTTTTTTTCCCCCAAGGGTTGGAGTCCTAAAGTTGTAGCTGGCTTGGGAGTTCAAGAGTTAAATGGCTTGGAAGTTCAAGAGTTAAATGCTACTTGCTCACCCCCTGCTATGTAGCCTGTCATGGTTTGGTGGGTGGGAAGGGGGGAGGTTGTATTCTTCGAATAGGGCGGGTTTTGCTGGAAAGCCGCCTTTCAGAAAATGCATTCTCATTCCTTATTACTTGTTGCAATCACGTTTCCGTTGGAGTCCAATATTGCAGGTGGGCAAGTTACCTGAAGGCCTTGAAGAGGAAACTCCTATATCCGCTCAGAAAGCACAAACCGAGAATTAAGCTGATCGGGCGGGGAGGAGGAGGGGAACCTGATAGGCACGCACCTTCCAGAGTAGGGTTTCGCCTGGAAAACACAGTTTCAGGCTCTGAACATGAGCTGACAAGAGGCTCTTTGCACCCAGGCCTTGGGCATGGGCTGTGCTGAGACAGACGGTTGCAGAGGAAAGCTTTTCAGCCTTCGAAAGCAAGGTCAGCTCGAGGCAGAGGGCCTGCATCCCTTTCAGCATGGCACATCAGTGGGGCTGGAGGTGAAAGCAGGCCTTTTATCTGCAAAGGCCATGCTTGAACATGTTTTACCCCATTGCTAAAGCCCACTACGTTTCCTCCCGTGCAAGGCATTGCTACCACTTGCCTTTCCAGTAGCCCTGCTTCATCCCAAACGCACTTCCCCTGGGCTGTCTTCCACCACCCCCTCCCAGGTTTTCCTCTCGCTTCCCATTAAGCCAGGAAATACCCACTCTAAGCACACCAGCTTTTGTACTTGCCCGCTAGAACCTCATTTAGCTGCTCTCTGGGCATGTCTACATGTGCTTTTACATGCGCCTAAACTTAATGCGCATTAGCTTAATGCGCATTAAGATGATTTAGGTGCACGTTTACACGTGGACGAGCTAATGCATATTAACACGGATGTGCAGACTGACTTGGAACTAAAGTTAGTCCCAAGTCAATAGTTACACACCACATTAATGCTCATTAATGTATCCACGTGTTCACGAACATGATTTAGCTATTAATTTGATACCTGCTTTATGCAAGTATCAAATTGAGGCTTGAATAATAGCTTTAAATCGCCATTTTTAAGGCACATGAAGGGTGTGTGCGTGTAGACACATGCCCATAATGAGCCTTGAATTGGGCTAATGTGCATTAAATGAGCACATGTAGACACGTCCTCCGTGTACACCTCCAAGTTCAGCCGATCGCTCACCTCCGCTTCTCCTAATGGAGCATCATTAGACCCCTGGTTAGACAGTCTAAATAAAGCCAGTCTTGACAATGGTATCAGTGGTGTCTTCCCCACATGTAAGGCTGTCCACAGGGGACTCACGATCCTGTCCAGCATTTCTTTCTGTCTGGTAGCTCCTTCCTATAACCCACTCAGGCCTCACTGGGGAACACCTGGCCACTTCCCAGCTGGTTGTAATAAATCCTACGGGGCCAGATGATTACAGACATCCACCCAGCCCTTTCAGGGGGAAGCTGCCCTTTTTATAAAGGACTGTGTTCCCATTAGAAAAAGTGGCAGGGGGATACATAATAGGTTGTAAATCATGTCAAGCTCCTGCCCAGTCTTGGACCTTTCATGTGGGTTGCAATGGTCAAGGTTGGACCAGTTGGTCTTGGGAATCCACTTCACCTGATCCCACGTCCAGGCTAGGAAAACAGTTCAGACTTAGCAAGAGTTTGCTAGCTAACATTGACTGCCCGTCCTAAAGTAAGCAACTGCCTCTGCAGCTCCATATGTAGTCACTTATCTCAGTTATGTGTGCTCCTTTAGCCCATTTTCAGTCCCAGATCAAGCCCACTTGAATGAATTTTTCATGCCATACAACACTAACAATTCAAATGCATTCAATGATCTGCCTTTGCCTTCACCCACAGCTCTTGTCATTGCAACCAAAAACCCAGCAATCAAATTGCTTTCTATTCCTCCACTTTGCTTTAGTCTATCTTCCAAAATCACGTCTTTGATGACCAACACCCAGTTGTAGATAAAAGGCCACAAAATGAAAGTGCTCAGGAAGCAACGGATAGATAAAAATGGGGGGGGGGAAAAAATCCCACACTTCCTTTACACAAAGAGATCTTGGAGAACGAGGCAGGATGGGAATAGAAATCCAGAGAAAAGATGCAATTGCTTACAAAGTATTTGGCAAAATGTTTATGCCCAGCAGACTGGAAGCTCTCACTTCCAGCTCGTGGAGGGTCGGGGTTTTGTTTTGCTGTCGAGGTTGGTTCCTATGGGCTTTGGTGTTGAAAATGGAGAAATCCCCCAAACCTCAAAGTGAAACTCTGACAAGGCTCCTCCGCTTGTTGCTTGCTTTCTGCCCGAAACTAAAAACCCAACTCGGATTCACCTCAAACTCGACCCAGGTTACTCACGACTCCTGGCATGAGCCTTAAGAAAGCTTTGCACTTCTCAGTGTTTGACTCAAGTTGCTGTAAATGAAGGTTTCATTCTGAAATTGCGACTTAGCACCGCCGCGGGCCCTGGGGCAGAGCCAGCCGGAGCCGAGCAGCTTCAGGAGCCACATGCTGCTGTGCAAAGAGAGCCACAGAGTTACTCTGGATTTGCACTGGTGAGTCCGACTATGCAAACAGGCCCACTGCCTAGTTTGGGTTTGCTTCACTCTCCAGACCATTTGTGCCTTGGGTTTATTCCATACTCCCGGCATAGACCAAGCTTTGTTTTCCCCTCCAGATCCAAACGCTGCCCGCTGGGACATAAGGGGAGAGTGGGTAAAGCCCTAAAGGCATCCAGCAGAAGACAAGAGCACCTCCCTTAGCAAGGGGGATGCAGGAAGGTGGGTGGCAAACAGCCCCCAGCAAGCCTTTGAGTAGGTTTGCAAATGAAAGGTCTCCAGAGGGTTACTTTATCTCGACACAACATGAGCTTTGCGAGGAAATACGGCGGCGACACATTTGGGGAACACGTTATAGCAAAGGATCAGAGCAGCCTGAATAAAGAGCATGTCCAGGGAGTGCTGTAGATAAATTGTCCCAAATGGGTATTTAAATCAACAGGGTGATTGCTAAATCATATAAGCTGCAAAAGAAATGGAGAGTTTCACGTGTTTCTATTTAAGAAAAGGCCCTCGTGTCCTCTGCAAGGTGTTTAGCACGGGATGTAACCCTGGATGCTTCACAACATTATACAGGAGCAGCAGCTCAGCTGAAAGACCCTTCATAGATCATGTGCTTTTTAAGAGCTACCCGTGCTCATGCTTCACGGCACAAAACCAAGGGACAAAACACCCCAGACGATTTGGTGCATCTCAGAGCTTGTCGCCTACCTCTGAAACAGCTGGCACGGGCCACTTCCACAGAGAAGATGATGCCAGCGGGACAGGTCAAAGCCCACGTGGCAGGTATGGAAGTTTGTCCATCAGTTTCTTGCAATGACTCAGTGAAACATTTTGCACTTCCCACGTGGTTTCAATCACAAGTCACCTGTTAAATCAATAGGCAGATGAAACTCAGACTGGTATACTGCCCTGAAGACAGACCTCTGGCTACAGTGCATAGCCACCAAGGCCCAAACTCCGGATGTCAATGTGTGACGAAGACCCAGGAATGAGCAATAGGCTAAAAGCATGCAGGCTGGAAACTTATAAAGCTGCCTTGGTGCCAATGACCCTGCCTAGGCTCTCTGTTTTGTAATTTCTTCACTTTTGATTTGTCCTCAGCAAAGAGCACCAAAATGTGCAGGGAATGGAGGCAGCTTTGGGACCTGAAGGAGGGATGCTTGGACACACATGCGCGTCGTCCCTGCAAGCTCTTTCAGGACGGGTCTGAGCCAGGACTACAGAAAGCTTTGCATTGGCGTTCCTGGGCTTTGAAATGCAGGCGCTTGCTTCCAGTGGGACATTAGTTAGAAGTCCCCAGCAGGACTGTACCTTTCCCCCCATTAAAAAAAAAAGGATGTTCTTTTGAAGGCTGCTTTCTTCCATGCCTCTCTCGCCTCCATCCTCTCCCCCCTTTCTCCATCTCTTTATAGCCATTTGAGACTGGCTCGTTACCTCCAGCTGGGAGAGCAGGATGCTAGCCAGGAATGAGCTCCAGCAAGGCTCCTGCCAAGGCCCCTCTATGAATCAGATGGCAAAGGCTCCTGCAACAGCTAGGATGGCAGTGTGCCCCTCCTCCCCATCCGCCCCGTCCAGCCCCACCCCAGAGCTGGTCCATCACCCCTGTGACTTAAGCAGCTCTTGCCAAACCAGAGGGCCTGGGAACTCAAATCCATCCCAATTAGGGCTTAGGTTTACTGCATGGCAACACAGCGCCGCTGGGACAGTTTCCATTGGGGAAGGCTGAAATAAAGATGCGAGGCGACGGGGGGCAGGGAGAGAAAGGGGGGACAGAGCTTGTTATGCAGGGAGAAATTTTTAGAGCTTTTTTTATTGGTCCTATACAGTACTTACAGATGAACCTTATGGTCCCTATCACGGGATAAACTCCCACGGACGTCAAAATGAAATTTTGCTGCACTGAAACTGCAGGACTGAGTCCTTAAAAGAGGTTAGCATTAAATCTGGCTATGCAACAGCGCCAAGAGCTACGTGCAAGCCTTCACAAGCCCCTCTCAAAGCATCAGGCAAGAAAACCACTGCTTGGGACCTTGTGCCCTCTGCCCTTTCCCCCCTCCCCAGCAGATTCAGCCAGCCTTGCACACTCAAACCACAGCTTCACCCTTTGCACCTCAGCCCCCTTGACCTGGCCACCGTCAGCCCCAAGAGCAGGGATCTGCTTGTGGTTTACTTTGGGGCAGTATGTTTTAGATAGGGATCGCAATGAATCTACCCCATGAGGAATCACCCAACTTCTCCTTTGGGGGTATGGGAGTGCAGCCCCGAAGCATGGCACTGTCGTTTTTATGCAAGAAGGGAATTTAGGCCGAAAAGTGGAGCGAGGAGATAATGTCAGGAAAGCGATGGTGATTTGGGGGCTTTATTGGCATTCGTTAGTTGGATGCTATCAGCCCTATGAAGTGTGGTGGCACAAGGAGAGAGAAGACCATCCTGGCTGAGGGCATAACCCAAAGGCGATCTGTAGCCGTGATCTCAGGAATACAGAACAACCCCATTTTGCCAGCCTACTTATTACCCCCAGTATTATGGTAGCATGCAGACCTGGGCTCCTTTGCTTTCAGCCTAACAGATTATAGCCCAGGTGCCCCCAGGAGCTTGCAATCTCAGGGCGTGTGCAGACGAAACAAAACGTCCCGTGCTTGTGTTTGCACGACCCCAGGAGACGAAGGCAGTAGCATCTTTTTCACTATAGAGATGGAGGTGAAAGGAGGTGAAACCCAAATCTCCTGAGTGCTGGTCCAGTACCTTAACGACAAAACCACTCCTTCCTCCTCCGTCTAGGCAGCAACGCTGCTGGTGACGAACAAACAGTTCTCCATGACCTGGTGAGGTTGATGCAACACGTTGAGCTTCATTATTATTATTATTATTATTATATCACCTGAACTAAAATGAAGTCAGCTCCATCTCCTTGCAATGAAAACCCTGTCATTCTTTCCTCCAAACTCCACTTCCTCGGTCCCTGTCTCGGTCTTTGTCTCACCTTCCCGGCCATGCTCACAAATCTGCCAGGGGCTTTTTTTTTTTTTTTTTGGAGGCTGGGGGTAGATGGTTTCAAATAAACAAGCTAAATTTATTGCTGGACAGATCTCTCAACCTGCAGCCCCGGCCAGCCAACTGCAGCTGCGATGTAATAAGCACATAAATAAAGTTTATGGCTCGAGTGGCCTGACCCAGCTTTGCCCCAAGGTACAGAAGCAGTATCTTGTCATTAGTATGCAGGACACATCGCCTTAATGTCTGCTCATTTGTTCTCAGCCCACTCAGCTCTATAAATCTCCACAAAAGGGCAAGGCAGGGCGGAGAGGAGGATGGGAAAGGGTGGTGGGGAGGCGCGGGGGGGAGATCGAAGCTGGAGTTGAACTACTGTAATCAGCCAATTCTGCCTCCACTTCAGGGGGTTAGGAGAGAAGGGGAGTGAGAAGTTTAGGACAAACCTGATCCTTTCCATCCTTCATAAGCTGGAGCCTGAAAAATAAACTGCTCGTGGTGTGTGCTTGAGGGATGGGAGCCGTCAGCTGAGAGCTGAACATTTTGCTGCGACCCACGCCTTTTGATGGGGCAGAGAAAAAATAAGAAGCTAGTATGGATGTTATTAGTAGTAGTATTAATATTAGTAGTAGTATTATTACTACTACTATAATGCCTTGAGTTTCATCACAACTATAATGCCTTGAGTGACATCACAACTATACTACTATAACGCCCAGTGATATCATCACTTCATTGCAGAAGGTGCTGTACCTCCAGTAAGCACCAGTCCCTGCCATGAAGAGCTTAAAACTTGCATCGGGCCAGACCGGTTATACGTGGAGCATGCACGTCTGCATGCAGCGGATGGAGACCTGTACGCACAGGGCAGAGATTCCCGTGCAGGGTTATTCTCCGTGCTGTTGTGCCCGTTCAGCACATCTGGAAGCCAGGGGGAGAAGTCTCCCTTTTTTTTCTGCTATGATTATTATGAGGAGGAGCAAACGCAATGCCATGCCATCACGGGGCATAGCATTATACCAAGGGCCCAAGCTTGTGCACGGCAGAGTGACCCCAGGGGAAATGGGGTCCACTTCCAGCAACTCCAGTGGCTCCGC